CAGATTTTAAATGCGGAAGGAAAAATATAAATGCTAAAATAAATGAAATGTGGTATAAATGTCACTCCTCCTTGATAACCCAGATGTACAGTGACAAATCATGGAAATTATTTGTAATATTTAGAGATTTTTGGACAAAGGTCCTTCAGGTTTTTAAAAGGCTCCTGAGGGGGAGGGAAAAAAAAGTTGTGGTAACATTTATGTATTCTACTTTTTTTTTTAAAGATTTATTTTTATTATTTTTTTTATTGGAAAGGCGGCTATACAGAGAGGAGAGACAGAGAGGAAGATCTTCCATCCAATGATTCACTCCCCAAGTGAGCTGCAACAACCGATGCTATGACAATCCGAAGCCAGGAGCCTCTTCCAGGTCTCCCACACGGAAGCAGGGTCCCAAGGCTTTGGGCCGTCCTCCACTGCTTTCCCAGGCCACAGGCAGGGAGCTGGAAGGGAAGCGGGGCTGCTGGGATTAGAACTGGCGCCCATATGGGATCCCGGGTGTGCAAGGCGAGGACCTTAACCACTGCACCACCGCGCCGCCCCGGGCCCTATGTATTCTACTTTTAACCACTATTGCTAACTAAGCTCTTTTCAACAGCTTTTCAAGTTTCACACTACCGACAATTCTATCCTGTAATTACCGATTTTGTTTTGGAGGGAGGTGTCCTGTGTTCTGTAGACTCTATCAGCAAGCCATACCTTTACCCACCAGATCCAGGAGTGCTGGCTATCCCCGTTGTAACAACCGAAAACATCTCCCAACACTACCAATGTATTTAAAAGAGGCAAAAATCTCAACTTACCACTCTCCCAGTAGAGAAATCACTCTTAAATGCTTCATGTCATCTTGCTTCATACTTGGCTCCCAGACTTAAAAAGTCCTGTTCAGAGACTGACCAAGCAGCTAAGCCAGTGGCTTAGAAGCCAGCAAGTCCATTCAGAGTTGCTGGATTCAAGTCCCTGTTAACTTCCTATTAATTCACACCCTGGGAGGCAACAGGTAATGCTCCAGTGTTAGTCTCGCCACAACATATGGTAGGGGACTCATACTAGGTTCCAAGCATGTGGTTTCAACTTGGCCCAGCGCCAACTTGTTCAGGCATTGGGAGAGTGAGCCAGCAGAAGGCAGATTTTCGTATGTCTCTATCTCTCTGACTGTCCAAAAAATAATTAAAACAAACTTTATTCAAACAAAAATCTCAAATTTGTACTGAATGTTAATAAATTCCAAGGATCACAAATTCGAACCTTTTCAAATGTTTACATACATGCCCAACAACAATATTTAATGGATCTACAACAACTAACCTTTAATTTCACAGGGGATAGGCTATGTCTCTTTTCAGCTTCTGTCCAAGGTTCTGAGTCCAAGTCGGGCAAACTGGCAGATAAACCTTCAGATATTGCTTGAAGAACACGTGTTTCACTATTTTTCTCGGGGCTCAGTGGATTTCCCATTCTTGGAGAATTAGGGGCAGACTCTAAAATTTTAAATTAGTTCTACAGTTAAAATGATACTGGCTTACCCATAAAGCAATTCAGCTTTTCCTTAATTTGGGCTTTCAGAAAAAAATACTGAAATAAAAACCTCAGCTGTAACCTTTCGAGTGACTTCCAAAAGTGGAGAACTGAAGATGTATTCCAAGGTGAAGCCACTGAATAAAAGAAACAAGTGATCCTCATACTGACCTGGTACCATATTACATTCAAACGTTTCACGAGTATCAATTTAAGTCACTCAGTAATTATAACAACAGATCTATTTGAAAATCAAAATTTTCTGTGGAAATTTCAAAATATCATACTCATATTAGACCCTCAAATGATATTAAGCCATTAAGATAAATGCACATTTTATGAAAGGTAAAAGTATTATCTTATATTTCTCTTTTGCCAAGGCATAGCTTTAAGCAGTCAATGCAGTATGCCCACTTACTACTATATTTGCTCATACCAATAGTATGAAAAGTAGAATGCCTTGCCATTCAAATGCACAGTGCAAGAAACATCTAAAAATTTTTTTAAAAACATACTTTTTCACATGGTTTAAAAAGCCTTATTCCACATACTTGCAGTTTATTTTAAATCAAGATAATCATATGCTCTAAATAGATGACAAATTATCTCCTTTTTATTATTTTACTTCCAGGAAAATGTTCACGTTCTTTAAGTTACATTGCTCTTCACCTCAGAGGATCAAACACCAACTCACTTTGCACACTGTTTCAGAAAACCATATAAACAAAATATCATGTTGTAAATCTTGATCAAATATAGGCAAAACTGATTTTTGTGATACTATGAAATTTTAAACACAATTACTTACTTAACAATTCATTTCATTGAAAATCTTGCACAACTTAATTGTAAAGGCAGAAAACCAAACAATCCTTCTTATAGTTACTAACTGAAAGGAACATTTTAGGCCTTGGTTTGAAAAGTGTTCTAACATTTTACCTTCATCTAAATGCTAAAATCAGGGCTTTATGGATACAACAACTAAACCACTAGGGTGCATTACTTCTTTTTTTTTTAAGTTTTTATTTATTTTTATCAGAAAGAAAAATTTACACAAGGGAGTACATACAGGAAAAAGGATTTTGCTTCAGATGTTTCAGTAACAAGTGGCCACAATGGCAAGAGCTAACCCAGTCTGGAAAGTGGAGCAGTCAGGATATGAACCAGTGCCCTCAGGAGATGCTAGTTTATGCCAGGGAGACTTAGCCACTAGGCTATCACTCAGGGCCCAATGCATTACGTTTTCAAAAGGTGTTTTGTTGGTGCCAGCACTGTGGTGTAGGAAGTAAAGTCACACCTACTACATGGGTTTCTCATATGGGTGCTAATGAGTCCTGGGGGCCTCACTTCTGATCCAGCTCCATGCTAATGTGCCCAGAAGCGGCAGAAGAGGGCCTAACTGCTTGGGCCCCTAACCCACCTGAGAGACTTGGTAAAACTCCTGACTCCTGCCTTTTGCCTAGCCAAACCTGGCCACTGAGGCAATTTAGAAAGTGAACCAGCAGAAGATCAAATATCTTTCCCTGTAACTTAGTACCTCAACTGAATTTTTTTTAATTTTAAAAACAAAACAACAGAAAAAGCATTATACCTGTGCTTTCAATAGAGTAGGTACCAGTTATATATATCTTCCTAGTGTCTGGAATGTGGCTAGTCCTGATACGGCTAAGTGTAAAATCCAAACAAAGACCAAGTGTCCCTCCACCCACAATAGTGCCTTAAGTTTCATTCTGAAATCCTGAATATATGCTGAAATTTTGGGGTATACCGAGCTAAATTAAGATGGCTATCAAAAATTTTAATTATGTTTGTTGATTTGAAGGCTACTAAACTTTGTAAGTTTGTATATGGCTATTGTTATTAGACACTACTATTTACCCGTTAATAAAACAAGCACTACCAATTCATTCACAAAAAAAAAAAAAAACAGTACAAATGAAACAGAGGTTTTAAATGGGTACTTTAGTCACAGGAATCAGAATAACACTGACTTATTTTATAATATTATTAATTACCTTATGTTCATTCAAAGAAAACTTTTAAGAATAGACTAAGAATAATTACCCCAGTGACTATAATTATGCAGTCCCTTATACATCTATTCTGAGAATTAACTAAATTATCATATATGATTTCTTCATAAATGATTCTGAATAGCACATGGTTTTTGGCACAAAACTCAGCAGCTGCTTTTTAAAATGGTGAGTTTATTATATAAGCAAATCTATGTTCTTTAAACTTGAATTATACCTCCATCATGAAGTGTTTTCCCTACACTCAAAACACATGTCCACAGAAATAGAATGTTACTAGAATAAAAAATTTAGCTCAATGTCTTAATAGACTGCACATATGCAGTGCATCCAAGTTTTTTCACAATGAAAATTTCAAACTAGATATTTGTAAAGTTTAACGGTAACTTGATCTTGATCATCTACCATTAAATTTGATTAATAAACAAAAGATCCACACATATGCTAACAAACCATAATTTGAACACAGAAAAGATTATTTTTAGTTTTTAATCAAATGAAAAATCAACTTAGCTCTTCAAAGCAAAAGACAAAAACATGTGTCCCACCAACTTGCCCCATACCTGTGCTGCTTCACCCTAATCAGAGGTCCACATGGGCATGCAGCCCTCAACTACCTAAATAATATTTAAAAAGCAAACAAAAAAGGATTCTTTTATGTGAAGCACTTTTAAGAATATCATTTTAAATGAAATCCCATAGAGTCGAAAGCAAAATAAATAAATAAATAAATAAACAAATCAAGATACCAGACTTCTCAGCTCTGATGAATCAAATCCTTTTAAGAACCGAACCGATATACAGTACTAAATCCAAATCCATGGCACTGTAAAGGCCTACATTGCAAAAAGTAATCTTACCATTCCCATAATCAGCTTTTTGTGGTGCATTATGGTCTTCTGCCAGTGCAAATGTCAACCCATGTTAGACAATTCAACCTCCAGTGAGGAAAAAAGACATTTTTAATTTCTTTGATGAAAAGGACCAATTATATTAAAATCTTACCATATAAATCCTTCATAAAGCATATATTCAAAGGTTACATTTTTAAAACTTAAGGACTTCTAATCTGAGGTCAAAGATCAGATACATGAAAGTTGTACTACTTTTTCTACCTATAGGTACATGTGGAGATAGCCTACATTCCTTATCCTTATCAGTTCGACCCTTCTCTGGAAATAGGAATCTAGGCTTTCTTATTGCAAAGGAATTAATGTTGGGTATTTGGAGATTCTTGGAATAATATCTACATATTTATTCCTATGACCTGACGTGAGTCAGCATGATACTAAGAAATTATCTTCCAGTAGTCCCACATTAATGGTCTAGTTGCTGCTAATACACAAAGAACCCAAAATTTTCAGCAATTTAGCACACACTGACTTGTTTCATGCAATGTGGACATGTATGCACCTGAGTATACATTCAAAAAAAAAACTGTACAAGACATGATTTTATCATTGTAATTTTATTAATAATGCATAAATAGTTAATGGACAGGTATTACCCACTTGACTGATCATAACTACCCTGTAGAAAAAGGATTTCCTGTATTATCCAACTTACCCTATGCCTGTTCATAAGCTGATTAAAAATGTCATCTTGGACCCCAACTTTACACAATAAATAAATCTAACTTATATAATCAGCCATTATACTTTTAAAAAACAAAACAAAAAAGTCTAAAACAATATCACTTTCTTCAACTTTTAAAACATCTGCCCCAGTTGCTTGCTGGGATTAGAAGCAGAGGGCTGACAAAGAAATACAAAATAAAATATCTATAAGACAATCCATTATCAATGCAACGATGGGCAGATCTCTCATATTGTTAAATTATTAAAATACATTTTGAAGAGTAGGGGAAAAATTCCTTGTTCAGGTCTGAAGTGTCTTACCCCATCAAGTGTCCATGCTAACAAATCTTACAGTCCTTGTATCATGACAACGTGTCAGCTCTGCAATGTACACCATACTGAAGGGCAAATCAAATAGCAAAGGACCTAACACTTTGGTAAATGCTATTTAAACCTCTCTTTATCTGCTTTATTGATCTGGACACAATACATAAGCCTGGAAACAAAAACACAATCTTGTAGTATTTCCAGAATGATAATAATGAACTTTCCCACCGTGAATAAAAGTAGCCCATGCAGCCCAGGCCAATTACACAGAAATGGGCAGCTCCTATAAAAACAATCGCAGTCCTGTGGTCTGTCTCACATCATCACAAAGGTGGTTATCTTTGCTGTAGTGTTGGCCCAACCTCCTCCACAAGGAGAGTAGACATTCTCGCACAGGAGACAGTCCGATCTCTTCATTTCTGCAGCACGATTTGTTCCAATGTTTATAATGCATTTCAGTGAGTCACCTATTCCACTGCGTATTCCGATCAAATGACATCCAAGAGCATCAGTAGATCATCACCCTGACTGAAAAAAGTTTAAGCACACATTTTTTCCCAAGAGGGAATGTCTTAAAAATGATCCAGGAAAAATTCTATTAACATTAAAAACAGTTTTTGGAAATTCTAAACACAATCATGTTAGAAAACCCCAGTTCTTCAAAATGTACTCATCCTAGTTTTTCAAAATAAGCTTAGGGCACACTGGTAACAAAATAAAGAAGTAAAATTTGTAGACTATTCCAATCCTTCCATACTATCCCAATCTCACATGGGGCAAAGTAGCATAATATATCTATGGCCATTCAGGAAAATTAAAAGAAAATAGTATAAATTCCACATATTCCAAGTACACATATAGTTCTCTGAACAAGAAAGGAAAAGTTTCATACATGATTTCTTCAAACCCTATTTAATTTTGTGTGACAAGCAATATAATTTAGAGGATCAAAATGCATTGATCACTACTAATTAATTATTCTACAGAAGCCAATTATTAAAAAAAAAAAACAAGGAAAATGGAACAAATAGCCCACTGTTAAGCTGTTTGTGCTAGAAGAAAAGCTGTTACCTGTATGTGAGCAAAAGGCTTGACCTGGAACGAACTCTGGACAATCAATCAGTTGAGAGAAGTCTGTCCGCGGCACATTACGTGGAGGAGGGCCTGGAATTGGCCATTTTTCTGGTTCTATCTTTTTTCTCATTTTCTCATCCACAATCTCTACTTCTGTGCTATCCTTCAGTGCCTATCAAAGTACATTGAGTTATTAAAGAAGTTTTACTCAATAAATTTTCACTGGATGTCTGCAATCCTAAATTAGGAAACCTGTAATTAGTATCCTGTATTATAGGAAATGATACCAAAAATATCAGTGTTTCGATATGGTGTTCCTTTAAGGGCATTGGATATTTATAATCATTAATTGGCCACACAAAATTATAAGCTTAAAATTCAGGGGCCAGGAGCCAGCACAATGACTCAATTGGTTAATTTTCCTGCTGCAAGTGCCGACAACCCATATGGGCACTGGTTTGTGTTCCACCTGTTCCACTTTCAATCCAGCTCCCTGCTTGTAGCCTGGCAAAGCAGTAGAGGATGATCCAAAGCCTTGGGACACTGCACTCATGTGGGAAACCCAGAGAAGCTTCTGGTTTCAGATCAGCTTAGCTCTGATCACTGCTGCCATTTGGAGAATGAAACCCTATAGATTTATTGAACCTCGAGTCTCACTGCTGTCTGCCTTGGCAGGAGAAGACCAAATGACTTCACAAGCCCATAATGCCCAGCGGCTGGATATTATTACTCATCGCTGGAAACACTTACCACTTAAACAACATAGCACGAATACTTTGACAACTATCAGTTTCTGAGTATTACTACATCAACTAGAAGCAAATGGCTTTTTACCAATCAAGCTTTACTGCTAATTTTTCCTTTCACAGTTCATACTTCTGTTTTCCTTCAGGTTCCCTTAAAAATACGAGCACATAAAATTTAGGCATTACATTTCAGTGTAAAAAGCATCACCATTTGTTTTGTTTTGTTTTGTTTTAAGATGTACTTATTTTTATTGGAAAGGCAGATCAGATTTATAGAGAAGGTGAAACGGAAAATGATCCTTCACCTGCCAGTCTACTCCCCAAATGGCCACAATGATGGGAGCTAAGCCCATCCAAAGCCACGAGCCAAGAGCCTCCTCCGGGTCTCCCACATGGGTGCAAGGTCCCAAGGCATAAACAGGAAGCTGGATGGCAAGCAGAGCAGCCAGGACACAAACCAGTGTACAAATGGGATTCCAGCACCTGCAACGTGAGATATTCAGCCAGAGTCCTTGCTCCAGGTCCCATCACTTGTTAAATAAAACAACACATGCACACAAAATTCCAGACAATGTGCCCACAAAGCAGATGTTTTGCTATTTTATGGCTGATGAAAACTAAAAACCTAAAGAAGTAAGTTTAATGAAAGATCACACCACAGTGGTAGGCAATGACCTAGGTTGTTCTGTACCTAGGTAAATATTGCTTCTGCCAGGCCTAGCCCCAGACACTACAGTCATTTGGGGAGGGAACCAGCGAATGGAAGCTAGCTCTAGGCCTTACTCACTGACTCCGAATTTCAAAATAAAATAAATTTCTTTTAGAAATTTTTTATCTCTTTCCCTCTCTTTTGGTTCCTGTCTTTCAGATAAATAGTTTTAAAAATATTTAAACAGATACTTCAATTTTGAAGGTTTACAAACAAGTACAAGAAAAGATGCTCAAGCATCTTTTAGTCATTAGGGAAATGCAAATTAGTCACAGTAAAAAACCATCAATTATTTTAAGTTGATGATTGAAGAGGATACACAGCTCATACTTAATGACAAAAAAGCGTTTTTAAGAGTGCTTTCCGATGGAGTATTTGTGTTTTTCCATGTACAGCAAACATCAAATCTTTGGCAAAGAAAAATTTAAAGAGTGCTTTTAGGTTCACAAACTGAAAGTTTTAACTGAATATTTACCTCTAATATGAGATTAAGGTTTGTGGTGAGAGCCTGAACTCTATGAAAACCAGCAATCAGGGAAATAGGTAAAAAGCCATGTTCATCCATCTTTCGCCGAAGAAAAAAGTCTCGTTCCAGATTTTCTATACTAAAGTAATATTCACTGAAAACATAAATAAGAAATTAAACTTAAATATCATACATTTATTCAAAGGAGACGAAAATCTGTTGCTTTTTACATCATTACTATGAAAATACATCAATTTGGTAACCAACATATTACACAGAATATAGTCTAATACAAAGACAGTAAAAATATAAATATAAAAATATTTAAAAAGCGCAAAAAATCCTAATAGATATTTTCCTACACATCATTACACAAAAAGCTAACCTTACTTTATATGTTTCTTCTAAGTATATGGAATTAAACATTTCCTTTTTCCTTAAAACATATAAATAACTGATTTCTACAATGAGTAGAAATTGTCACTAAAGCCACTTGCTACTTGCTTCATGTAAAAGTAAATAGTAACTTAAGTGCCTATCAACTCAGTGCCTTCCGTCTTCTCAGAGAAATACACCCAGCGCAATCCGTCTGAATTATCTGCTTGCACAGTTGTTTTGTTTTCCAAATTAACGTTTCTAAATGCTAAACCAGCACAATGCTTAGTTAAAATACATGGCATGAGAGTACACACAATTACATTTAATTCAAAATCTCTTTTTTTGATGAACACTAGAAGACATCAAGAGTAAAAATATCTGTGATACCAAAGTGCATGATATGGGGAAATGCAAAAAGACTTCAATGTGTTATCTTCTAGAGCACAGAATTACTACACATTTATTGAGTTAAGAGGAAGTAGACCGTAGCTTAAATCAAGAACCACAAGCCTCAGGCTCTGCATGATGGCTTAGCAGCTAAAAGTCCTCGCCTAGAATGCACCAGAATCCCACACAGCTGCTGGTTTTAATCCCAGTGGCCCCACTTCCCATCCAGCTCCCTGCCTGTGCCCTGGAAAAGCCGTCGAGGATGGCCCAAACCCTTGGGACCCTGCAGCACCCACGTGGGAGATCCAGAAGAGCTCCAGGCTCCTGGTTTCAGATCAGTGCAGTTGTGACCATTGTTGCCACTTTGGGAATGAATCAGCAGACAGAAGATCTTCCTCTAAGTCTCTCCTCCTCTTTGTATATCTGACTTTCCAATAAAAATAAATAAATCTTTAAAACAAAAGACCACAAGTTCCGAAATGCAAAATAATATTCAAAATATATCTAATAAAAATCTTTCAAGAACACTTGCTAAAACTACATCTTCCATTCAGAATAAGAGCAGGATTATAAAGAAATGCAAAATATAACAAGCTGAAATATAAAAGAAAATGGACAGTAAAGATGATACGGCCTAAACGTATTAATCTTAATCTGTTTTCAAGTCAGAAAAGCTGACTATGAGAAAGTTGTGAAAAAGCACTTTTGCTCTTATTTTTGGGTGCAAGATTCAATGATTATAGGTAGTCTTAAAAATACTGGGCCTAATTTTAACCTTGAAAAACTAGGCACCTATAACTGAAACCTGAATTTAAAGAATCTTCACTGGAATAAAATAAAAACATCGCATTTTAAAAACAAAACAGGCCCAGCATGATGGCTCACTGGCTAAATCCTATGTTTTGAATGCGCCAGGATCCCTTAAGGGTGGCCAGTTCACATCCTGGCTGCCCCACTTCTCCTCCAGCTCCCTACCTATAGCCTAGGAAACCAGTAGAGGATGACCCAAAGCCTTGGAACTCTGAATCCACATGGGAGACCAGGAGGAGCTTCCTGGATCCAGATTGGCACCAGATTGGAAGAAGCTCCTGACTCCTTCCCAGGCCACAAGCAGGGAGCTGGATGGAAAGTGGGGCCGCCAGGATTAGAACCGGTGCCCATATGGGATCCCAGCGTGTGCAAGGCAAGGACTTTAACCACTACGTTATCACGCTGGATCCAAATGTTGACCGTCTTCAACTTTACCAATTAATTATCACCAAAATGATAGACTATCAGTGAAAGCAATGTGTAAGAAGAGCAGATTTTGCTGCCCCATGTGTTTATTTTCTGATATCAACTTACATTTGTCGCTTAATGTATTCTTTCAGCAATGTTTCTTCCACAGGATACACCTGTAGGCCAGTACCATCATCATAGCAATACATCATACTGCTGCTGAATTCTGTTTGAAGAGGTTGCTCAGTCCTTTCAACGTGTTCTCGATAATCATATGAATAATCAAAGTTCACTTCACGTGAATAAAGAGAGAAAGGTGACACAGATGTAACAGTCATTAATATAAAGAAAATTCAAAGTGAAATTCTTTTAATGGCAACCAATATAAACCATGCTTACTAATTATACACAAAATTATTACAGGATGGTGTAATTAAACAGAAGGCTTGTTTAAGTTTTTCAAAGTTCATCTAATTTAATAAAGCAAAAAATTACATCATACATCGAGCATTTCCTCTGCCTCGTCCTCTTCCCCGTCCTCGGCCTCTTCCTCGGCCTCTAAAGGAACCACGTATACTACCACCCTCACTTCTCACACTGGACACGTCATCTTGATCTTCTTTTTTATCTCTATCTCGCCTCCAACCTTTTGAAATAAAAATATTTTTACACATTTCAGTTTGCAATAAAATAATTATCTTAAACACAAGGAACACCTTCCCCTGTCCCATAATCAGTGGATGGTAGCCAAATAGAGTCACACTTAAGAAATCCAACAGAAATTTGTCAAGAACATCTCTGGAATAATGGGAAATAAGAAAGACACCCTATGCCCAGCACCACGGCCTAAAGCTAAAAGCCCATTAAAGAGATAGAATGCACTGAATCCCATGTAGGAGCCAGTTCAAGTACTAGCTGCTCCACTTCCATTTTAAAGCACCTGGGAAAGCAGCAGAAGATGGTCCAAGTGCTTGGGCCCTTGCTCCTATGTATCCAAGTCCCTGGATTCAGATCTCCCCAGATCCAGTCATTACAGCTTTTGGGGAGTGAACAAACAGATAGAAGATCTCTCTCTCTCTCTCTCTCCGATCTCTCTCTCTCTCCTTTATTTTTATTATAAAGCATAATGGCACATGAAATTAAGTTTTGCTCTAGATTGAAGCAAATGTATTTGAAAAAGACTGCTTAAGGTGGGCGGGAGGAGGCTTGTATCCCAACCCTGAAGACTCCCAGATCCTCACCAAGGACTATCAGTACAAGCACCGAGAACTACATCCAAACTGCCAAGGAGACCACGGAGAATTGTAGTGCCTTCAGAGGCCGAGAACTTTGAAGTCACCCACCCCCATTTGGATCTACCACATGGGATGGAAGAAGCCCAAATCCTGCCTTGCAGGATCCAAGGTCAGCGGAATGACAACCAGGAGCACTGAGCAGTCCGCAGAAACAGAACAGTAAACTTCCTTTGGGACTAGGGAGAGGAGCTTTCTCTGGTCCTTGGTATGCTTTTCAATATATGTAACTATTACCATTTTCTAAAAATGATCTAGAAACCACCCAAAATCCTTGAGGCTCCCATCAGGCCAATCTGGGAAAGCTTGAGCATGAAGTTAAAATTACAATAAAATTAGGAAGCAACCAACCACAGTGAAAGATTATGATCCACTGAATAAATAAGAAGCCATGCCCACAATAATTGTGAAAGTTGTTCCATATAGAATGCCAACCACAAAATGCAGTAGAGATAATATAGTAAGAACAATCATCTTAGGTAACCTTCATAGTAATGACTGAACTAAGCAAGAATCAATAAAATCTAAAGCTTCTATCAAAGTCTTACGAGTAAATAATTATTTCAACTATCTTTATAATTAAGTCTGTGCTATACCATGTAATCGAAGTGATCAATGTCAGGAATAACAGAAGAAACCAAGATCATATGCATTCCCATATGGTATACAAAGGAGACTATGTAACGTCTATCCAAACTTTAAAATATAAATCCATTCACAAGGATCTGACTGTAGCATCGCCTTTTAAGCCTCCACATGTGGCTCTAACACTCATATGGAACTGATTCAGGTCCAATCTGAAGCCAAGAGCCAGAGCCTCTTTTGGGTCTCCCAAGGCAGGTGGCAGGTCCCAAGGCTTTGGGCTGTAGTCTCCTGCTTTCCCAAGCAGAGAACTGGATATGAAGCAGGGCCACCAGGATTAGAACCAGTACCCATATGGGATCCTATAAATTGAATCTCAGGGGGAAGAAAAACTATATTTGGAGGGCACCACTAGAAAATCTGTTATTGTTAACACACTTTTTTTTAAGTTTCATTATTGTTAACTGTGCTACACGTTGTATTACTCATCTAAAATGTATTCTGAAGGAATGTAGTTAAAGGAGTTTCTACTAATTACTAAGCATTAAGACCAAACCTTAGAACAGCCAAGCTTTGACAGCGAGTATCTATGCAAGTGGACTATATCACTCAATAGGCCTTGGAGGCATTTCCTCAATCTTACAGTAACAAAACTGACAGCATCTCAGAAACTATCAAAACTACTTAAGCAGAACCCTGAGAACACATTCTGCATCAGGGACCCTGGGATGACGTCAGGTGGCAATCTCCCATCCCCAGTACTGATGCAGTTGACTGCTGAGCAGTTCTCTTCCCTTTACTTCCCACTTTCCCCAGATACAAGAAAGAAAAACAGATTGGAAACAGTAGTCTCATCCACTTTCCCGCGTTCCTTGCCACTCTCCCCCCTAATCCGTGGTGCACATGGGCGTGCATCCTTCCTATCTCTGTAAATATTATCAAGAATAAATGTTTTAAAAAACACAAAAATCTTAAAACATGACTTACTTCGTGTATCATTTCTTCTATTGGTATGTGCTGCTTTATTTGCTTCAGGTTGACATCTTGAACTGTTTCGGGATCCAGGTCTTTCTTGACTGTCTGGTCTCACATCATCCAAGTGCAGAGGTACCCACTTGTGCTTATTAGCTTGAATAATATAAAAATGAAATCATTTAAATGACAGTACATAATTTTCATTAAAGCCTTGCAACTTTGAAACTACTATGAATTCTAATCACATGAAAGAATTTTTCTTTAGAGGGATTATCTGTAGAGTACTAAATCTTTCTCCTTCTCACATAGACCCTTGATAAACTTGTTTGGTTTCCAGATGAAAGCAAACTCTTCTCCCACAAGTTACATGAAAAGCTCAGAAAATCAACATGGATAAAGGCAACTCTTTTCGGGCCAGTGCAGTAACCTAGTGGCTAAAGTCCTTGCCTTGCATGCGTGAAGACCCCATGTGGGTACCAGTTTTAATCCCAGCTGCTCCACTTTCCTTCCAGCTCCCTGCTTGTGTCCTGGGAAAGCAGTAGAGGAGGACCCAAAGTCTTGGGACCCTGCCACCACATGGGAGACCCGAAGAAGCTCTGGCTTCATACAGGCTCAGCTCTAGCCATTACAGCCATTTAGGAAGTGAATCAATGGATGGAAGCTCTCTGTGCTCCTCTTTGCAAATCTGCCTTTCCAATAAAAATAAACAAATCTTTAAAATACAAAAAAATTTTAAAATACAAAGTTTTAATGAACTTGTTGAAAAAAGTTGAAACCTTAACAGTTCAGACATATTACAAAAGCACATCATTACCACAGAGTATGGTTTAGGCTGAAGAAATATAAAACAAATTGACAGGTGTTAGACAGCATTAAATACAACTATTAATTACTAACACTATCTTCAGAATTTGAAAATGAAAGTGAAGATACATATTAGATAAAGACAAGCGTACCTCTTTTTCGTTGATTACTTGACTGAGCTTCATCTTCACTGACATTTTCACCAGGACCATCTAATTTTATTTCCCGGTTTTCTTTGCTCTCAGTGTTACTTTTCTTCTCAATCTTCTCTTCTTTTTCCTTTCTACTCTGTGGTTTCTTATTCCCTTGGTTGATGACATTCTGACACTACCAAAAAAAAAAGTTTTAATGAATGAAATAATTTCTACTAACATTTCCACTAGAAATTTCTGATAATGCAATTTACCCAAATATTGCTACAAATTACAAAAACAAAAATATTTCTCAAAAGACACTTAAAAATCTCTAGACTGTGAGAAAATATCTGCTTAGCAGCTGATAAGGACTTGCATGTAAAGTAGAAAATGAACTCTCTTAATAAAAAGGTCCAAAATTAATGATTCACTCCATCATTTATTTCCTTGGGGAAGTAAATTTAGAAAGATATTTAATCAGTCAGAGAAAATCTAAAACTGCTCACCACTTATTAGAATACATATTTTTTTCAATGACCATCGTTAATAGTTACTGAGCACATAATTAACTGGAATTCTTGTAACACTGGTAGGAGCACAAATTTCAAGTTTCTTACAGCTGCCCATGACTCAGTAATTCTACTTCAGTTACTTATAGCTTACATCCACATACTAGAATATTACTCAGGAAAAAATTAACTATTAATGCAGAACAGGTGGAAATTCAAAAATAATTATACTAAATGAAAGCCACAAAACAAGAAAAAGCCCTTTCTATTGATTCCACATTTACAATGTTTAGGGGAAAAAAACACAAATTCTTTCATACCAATATTTTTTAAAAGCCTTCATGGTAGTACTGCAAAGTAAACCTCTATCCATAATATCATCATCCCATATGGACGCCAGATTTTTCTGGCTACTCCACTTCTGATCCAGCTCCCTGCTAAATGTCCTGGGAAAGCAGAGGTTGATACTAGTCCTTAAATTATCGCACCCTCATGGGAAGACCCAATAAAAGCTCTTTGCTCCCAGCTCTTTGCTTTGGACCAGCTCAGCTCTGGCCCTTGTGGCCATTTGGGGAGTGAACCAGGAGATGCAGTAACTTCCCCCACCCAAAAACTCTTTCCAGTAAACTAAACGAATCTTCAAAAAAATTTCAGCACTTGTTCACTGATTTCAGAGAGGGAGGGATCTTCCATTCACTGGGTCAGTTCCAGATGACCACCAAGAGCCAGTGTAGGACCAGATAGAATCTGGAAGCCAGGCATTTCCTCCAGGTCTCCCACATGGCTGACAGGGGCCCAATCATTTGGGCCATCTTTGTTGCTTTTCCCAGGCCGTTAGCAGGGAGCTAGATGGTAAGTGGAACAATGGAGCCCACATAGGATTCAGATTCCACAGGCCAGTGGTTTTAACAGCTAAGACACAATGCCAGCCCATAAAATTTTCAGCTAATTGAGAGAAAGAAAGACAGAGAACTCCCACCCACTGGTTTACTCCCATAAAGCCTATAACAGCCAAAATTGGGCCAGATTAGAGCTGGAAGTCAGAAATTCAGAACTAAGATCTCCCTATTTGGGTGGCAGGGACTCAAGCACTTGAGTACTATTGCCACCAAGGGTACATTAGCAAGAAGCTGGAATTCAGGAGAGCAGAACCTACCACTGTTAAATGGGTCTCCTAAGCAGTATTTCTACCACTATACTTATGCCAGCCTCATAAACTTTTTCAAGAACTAGTTCAAGTACCCTTACATTAAAATTCAAATTAAAGTGACTTAATGGTTGCTAGGGAGAATTTCAAAGGAATGTGAGGAGATTTGGAGCAATGATCAAGTTCATTATTTCGATTGTGATGACAATATATACCATAACTATATCCAAGCCTAGTGTGGTGGGACAGCATACTATAATCTTCCATCTGCCACACTGGAATTCCCAGTATGGTATTAGTTCGATTTGGAGATGCTATGCTTCTGATCCAGGTCCTCCCTGCTCACAGCCTGGGAAAGCAGCAGAGGACAGTCAGCCTTGGGCTCCTGAAGCCATATGGTACACTCAGGAGAAGCTCTTGGCTTTGGAACTGCATAGCTCTGTTCATTGCACCATTGCAGGAGTTAACCAGAGGATAGAAGATCTCTGAGTTTCGAGGAACATACACTAAAATAAATTCTTTTTGGGAGGAGTGGGAAGGAGAAATCCCAGAGCCTTTGGAACTAGGTCATAAAATTAAAAAAAAAAAAAAGAAAGAAAAACTGTTCCACAGAGTCAAATCACAAATTTGTGTCAAGAAAGAAAATTCTGACTTGTGCAAAGTAAAAATTATACTTTTAAAACGGCCTTTATAGCTCAAACTCTCTAATGTCTAAGTATACATCCATAGTACTACATAAATTACAGTCAGGATATAGTGTAAAAAGGAAAGCATGTCACCAGAGAAACAGACTACTCCTCCTAAAAAAGACCCTTTGATGGGACATTTTAGCGCCATAATCAAAATATAAACTCTACTGCATAGCTCTTGTAATAAATATGCATGTGTGTATGTATGTTCATACATATGTACTTAACACAAATTTAAAGAATTAAATTGGAGAAAGCATTTGGTCTAGTTTGTTGCCTGCCTAAATTCCACATCAGTGGGCCTGAGTTCAATTCATGGCTCTGCCTCCACATCACGCAGATCCTAAGAGAGAGCCTGTGATAGCTCAAGCAATCGGGTCCCTACCATCCACATGGGAGAAATGGACTCAATTCCCGGCTCTGGGCTCCAGTCTTACCACAGCCCTGCCTGCTGTTCAACATCTGGGGTATGTTACTAAGTGTTGTTTCCTCTAAGAAAAAAAAAAAGAAAAGAAAAGAAAAGAAAAGAAAAAACCTGAAGCACTTATACATTAATCTATTGGCACCAGTACTGATGCACAAGTAAAGCTGCTTTCTTTTTAATCAGCTCTAAATGGACCAAGGACTTAAATCTACACTCAGAAACCATCAAACTATTAAAGGAAAACATAGGAAATACACTACAAGATATAGGAACAGGGAAAGATTTCTTAGAAAAGATTCCAAAAGCACAGGCAATCAAAGCCAAAATGAACAAATGGGACTACATCACACTAAAAAGCTTCTGTACAGCAAAGGAAACAACAAAGTGAAGAAGCAACCAACAGAATGGGGGGAAAATTTTGCACGCTACACAACCGACAGGGGACTAATAACCAGGATTTACAAAGAGTTTCAGAAACCCAGGGACAGCAAAAAAACAAACAAACAAACAAAAAAAGAACCTGTAACAAAATGGGCAAAGGAAATGAAATGAACAGACATTTTTCAAAAGAAAAGACTCAAATGGCTAACAGGCATATGAAAAGATGCTCAGGGGCCCGGCGCGGTGGCGCAAGTGGTTAAAGGTCCTCGCCTTGCACCCCCGGGATCCCATATGGGCGCCGGTTCTAATCCCGGCAGCCCCGCTTCCCTTCCAGCTCCCTGCTTGTGGCCTGGGAAAGCAGTCGAGGATGGCCCAAAGCTTTGGGAACCTGCACCCACGTGGGAGACCCGGAAGAGGCTCCTGGCTTCGGATCGGCATAGTATCGGCCCGTTGCGCTCACTTGGGGAGTGAATCATCAGACGGAAGATCTTCCTCTCTGTCTCTCCTCTGTGTATATCCGCCTTTCCAATGAAAAAATAATAAAAATAAATCTTTAAAAAAAATAAAAATAAAAAAAAAAATATAAAAAACTAAAAAACTAAAAAAAAAAAAAGAAAACTAAAAAAAAAAAAAATAATAAAAAAATAAAAAAATAAAAAAAAAAAAAAAAGAAAAGATGCTCAGGCTCCCTAGCCATAAGAGAGATACAAATGAAAACCACATTGAGGTACCACCTAACTCCAGTGAGACTGGCCTACATTCAGAACTCAAGTAACACCTGCTGACATGGCTGTGGGGAGACACATACCCACTTCTTCACTGCTACTGGGAGTGTAGGGTAGTACAACCACTGTGGAAGTCAGTATGGAGAGTGCTTGGAAAAATGCAAATATGACCCAGCTATCCCACCCATAGGAATATACCCAATAGAAGCGAAATCTGCATGTGAGAAAGGGATCTGTAGTCCTATATTTGCAGCAATCCAGATATGCATCCAAAGAGTGGTTAAAGAAATTGTGGTACATCTACTCCAGGGAATACTATTCAGCTATTAAGAATGGAATTATATATTTACAACTAGGTGGTCCCAACTACAAACCATTATACTCAGTGAAATGAGTCAATCAGAAAAGAACAAATACCATAAGTTCTCTTTTATATAAGAAATTCAGCATGGAAAGAGTAACTTCAAAAATCTGATTCACACTGGTTTTTTTGTTTTGTTTTGTGTTTTTGGCTGCATCCTATGTGATTTGACGTTTTTTATCTCTGTTTTATTTATTCCAAAGACTTTATTTTCTCTTGCCGAATTCATCACTGGCTCATGGATTACACGGTGGTATCACTTTTTCCAAGAGAATTTTGTGTTTCCTTTTTGTCACCCATGTGTTGGTTACTCGAGTGTGGCACGTTTTTCATGGTGCTGCAATTTGGTTTTGTTTTTTTTTTTTTTCATTTTTGTTGTTGAGGCTGTTGTTCTAACTCATACCAGTTCTTTACCTTGTGTCATGGCTTCTCAATTATGGAAATGTATAATGACGAGTACTGGGTTCCACCATATCCAGATGCAGGGATATAATGAAGGCAACATTCATTCCTACTTCCAGGCAAAAAACGGATTCCCAACGAAACTGTTGGAAATGTGTACACAATCAGATGCTGGACTGTCTGATAGTCTGTACCAGCAATATCAGGGTACACTTAAATAAGAGAATGATGGAATTCTGATTCCCTATGAAGGACTATACCACTATAGTAAAATGGTGGAAATCTGTCAGGGGAATTTGGGAGTAATCCCAGTCTATACAAAACTGTACCACATAATCCAAAAACTCAAAATAAAAATAAATAAAAATAAATCTTTAAAAAAAAATAAATAAAGATTTATCTTAGGGTTTTTTTTTTTAATTAGAAAGTAAGATATACAGAGAGAAGAAATATAAAGAGTCACCAGTCTGCTGACTTACTCCTCAAGCGACCACAATGGCTGGAGCTGAGCTGATTCGAAGGCAGGAGTTTGGAACTTCCTCCGGGTCTCCCACGCAGGTGCAGGGTCCCAAGGCTTTGGCCCATCTTCAACTGCTTTCCCAGGCCACAAGTAGGGAGTTGGATAGGAAGTGGGGCATCCAGGATTACAACCAGGCGCCCATACAGGATCCCAGTGCACACAAGGCAAGAGGACTTTAACCACTAGGCTACTGTGCTGGGTCCATAAGACTGCTTGTAAATAAGATTCCAGCATCCCAAATGGATGCTAATTTGTGACACAGCTACTAAGAAGCTCCTGGCTTCGGACTGGCAAAGCACAGACTGTTGCGGTCACTTGGGGAGTGAATCATTAGATGGAAGATCTTCCATTCTGTCTCTCCTCCTCTCTGTATATCTGAATTTGCAATAAAAATAAATAAATATTTTTTTAAAAGTTAGTTTCAAAAAAAAATACAAACTTCTAAGAACACAATCAGATGAGGAAACCCCATGAATGAAATTAAGTATCTGAATAATGGTTAAAATTATTCAAAGCGTAGTTGCCAAGTTTCTGATACCTTTAACATTGCATATAGTTTCATATAATCAAATTTTGATACATATTTTGTGTTCATTATCTCTAGAAATAGGTGACATTTATCCTCAGTAAAATATTAAGACAACAAGTTCATTATTAGCACTTACTGGAAGAGTTAACGAATGAGGAAAAAAAGATAAACCTTAATGATGAACCAAATCTTTAAATATGTCCCTCAGGCAAATTGGTTTTATTTTTAACTAAAATAAATTCTTCATTTTTAAAAAGTATTGTTAAATAATACTCACTCCAGTGTTCACTAATTCACTTGGCGTTGGCCAATTCGCCATATCGCTGAAATCGCTAGGCTAAAAAGTAATAAATAAGTGTTATGTCTGCAAAATTAGCTTTAGAAATTTTACACAGAAAATACTTTCTAGAACCACCTGCAAACTATAACAATTACCATTATTACATGCTGGCATTTCTCATACTGACCCCAAAGTCCCTCCAAACCACACACTTCAAAGCAAGAAGGTTTTGGTCTTATAATCCAATTTCAAGTATTATTTAATATGAATGAAACTGAGGTACATTATAGCAGATCAAAGGAACTAAATACATAATTCTCTGAATATTAATATTACACTAACAGTAACAATCACAAGAGCTCCTAACAACTTTGACAATATCGTTAAAACTATTTGCTATAGACATACCTTATTGGGTTTCTTTGTCTTGAGTTTTCCAGCTTTTACAGTTTTTGGTGAACTAAGCTCTAAGGAAAATAAACAAAATTGCTTTTACAACTACTTAATTTAACATATTTAGCAAAACCTATTTTATCAATTTTAGCATGTCAATGTAGTCATCACTCAACATAATTTGTTCCAAGATTCACACTTAACAGATTCAAGTGTGTCTGGACTTCAGTACCCAAACAGAAAAGTCACAAATATTACGTTCAGCTTACATATACTGGACAAGTAAATCATTTCATTAACAGATTACAACGCAGGAAACATTAGAAATAACATGTTTTAATAAAATTAGATTCACTTCTAATGACATATATTTTGTTAAGATTGATTCACTTAGGGCCCAGCGTGATGGCGCAGTGGTTAAAGTCCTCACCTTGCATGCGCCAGGATCCCACATGGGCACCGGTTCTAATCCCGGCAGCCCTGCTTCCCATCCAGCTCCCTGTTTGTGGCCTGGGAAAGCAGTGGAGGATGGCCCAAAGCCTTGGAACCCTGCACCCACGTGGGAGATCCAGAAGAGCTCCTGGCTCTGCTCTAGCCGTTGCGGCAGCTTGGGGAGTGAACCATCGAACGGATATTCTTCCTCTTTGTCTTTCCTCCTCTCTATATATCTGACTTTCCAATAAAAATAAATAAATCTTTTTAAATAAAGATTGATTCACTTATTTATTTTAAAGGCTGAGTGACAGGAAGAGGCAATAATCATCCATCCACTGATTCACTTCACAAATGGCCATAGCAGCCATGACAGGGCCAATTCAAACCCAGAAGTTACTTCTGGGGCTCCCAAGCGGGTGCTGCAGTACAAGTACTTTAGTCATCTTCTGCTGCCCCCTCAGTCACATTAAGCAGGGAGATGGATCAGAAGTGACGCAACAGGCAGATTAACCCACCATGCCACAATGCCAGCCAACTACATTTTTAAATACAATTAATACATTCATCAAAAAGCATCCAGAAATTAGGTCAGAGGACTTCAAACTTTCTGTAGCAGGAATCAAACAGGTTTTGCAACCCTAACAGACTGTACCTAGATCCTAGTCACAAAACCGACAATGACTGATTCTGTAAAAGGTTGTCCAAGACATTCACTGTACTACATGTCCTTATCTTAAGTTAGTACACAATGGCTGATTCCTTTCCATTCTGACTCATTACACTGGCAAGGCTATTCTAAAGCATGATCATCGTACCATCATGGCCTAAAATAAACATTAAAACTTTGATCTTCCCTTTGCAAACACTGGAATCTCATAAGGGCACCACCAGTTCATGTCTCTGCTTCTCCACTTCCCATCCAGCTTCCTGCTTAAGGCCTTGAGACCCTGCACCTATGTGGGAGACTAGAAGTAGTTCCTGGATCCTGGATTCAAATCTGCTCAGCTCAGCTTCAGATGTTAGTGGGAGACCTGGAAGAAGCTCCTGGTTCTGGGCTGCAGCCACTTTAGGAGTGAACCAGCAGACAGAAGAGCTTTCTCTCCATAACGCTGATCTGCCTTTTCCAGTAAAAATACATCTTTAAAAAAAAAAAAAACCCTGCACAGTGGCTCAGGGGCTAAATCCTCGCCTTGCATGTGCTGGAATCCCATATGGATGCCAGTTCCTTTCCTGTTCCACTTCCCATCCAGTTCCCTCCATGGTTGTAGTTTGGGAAACAGTAGGGCATGGCCCAGACCCTTGGGCTCCTGGTTCAGCCCCAGCCACTGCAGCCACTTTGGGGAGTGAACCTGAGAATGGAAGGAAGATCTTTCTTTCTGTACCACCTTCTCCCTGTAAATCTGCCTTCCCAATAAAAATAAATCTTCAGAAGCTAATTAGAAACAAAAACAATAGAGGAAAAATAAATATGAAAAACAAGATGGGACTAGTGCTATAGTATATTAAGGCGCTAGCTTCAGCACCAACATCCCACCATAGAGAATACAGAGTCCAGAGTATACCAATTCAAGTTCTAGCTGCACTACTTCTGATCCAGTCCCCTGTTTATGGCCTGGGATAGTAGCATAGGATGGACAAGTGCTTGGGCCTCTGCACTACTATATCATGGGAGACCTAGAAGTTCTTACTGGCTCCAGTCTAGTGGCTTGGGGCTGGCCCAGCCGCAGCAGTTGTGGCCATTTAAGGCAGCAAACAGAAGAGAGAAGGTGTCTTTCCCACTTTCTTCCTCTCCCTTTCTTCACAGAAAAGTCAAAATGAAAAGAGGGAACCCCAATGATGACTCTGTTCCTGCTGTTCTACTCCCCTTCCAGCTCCCTCCCTGCTTGTGGCCTGGGAAAGCAGCAGATGATGGGCCAACACCTTGGGACCCTGCATTCATGCAGGAGACCCAGAAGCGCCTGGCTTCTGGTTTTGAACTGGCTCAGCTCCAGCAGTTGAGGCAATGTGGGGAGTGAACCAGAGAACAGAAGATCATTCTCTGTCTTCCCTTCTCTCTGTTTATCTACCTTTCCAATAGAAAATAAATAAACCTTTTTGAAGAAAATTTAAGAACTAATAGAAAACACAGGTAGATCCCCCCCCTCCACAAATTTAAAAAAAAAAAAAGCTTGAGCAGGAAAACATCTAACTCACTAACAAAGAACAGCATCTGTCTAAACATTATCCAGATATAACGAGATCCAAATACTCTGTAAACAGTATACATGCATATAGATTCTATAAAAGTTACACAGTAAATAACCTTTGGAGAACTTTCCCCTTTACAACACAAAAAAACTGATTCAGAACTTCATTAAGTGTTATAAAAATGCAGCCACATACAAACTACTTCATGTAATAAGTAAGGAATATCTATACAAATGAGTTATACTTTTATCACTAATCAGAAATGAAAAATAAATTATCCTGACCACATAAACACAAAAAAGCACCCTTAACTCCAATACTAAATGATACAAAGATTTATTTTTATTAAAAAGGCAAATTTACAGAAGGAGAGAAAGATTGTCAAACCACTGGTTCACTCCCCAAGTCGCCACAATAGCTGGAGCTGAAGCCAATCCAAAGGGAGGAGACAGGAGCTTCTGGATCTCACACTGGGTGCAGGGTCTAAAGGCCTTGGGCCATCCTCTATTGCTTCCCCAAGGACACAAGCAGGGAGCTAGATGGAAGTGGAGCAGCCAGGACACAAACTGGCACCCATATGGGATCCTGGTGCTTGAAGGGGCTAGATTAGCCAATAGAGCCATTGCACCTTGAAGGAAATGAGCAGGTATTTTCAAAAAACAAAATCAAATGATTGGGCCCTGCGCAGTGGCGCAAGTGGTTAAGGTCCTCGCCTTGCACGCCTGGGATCCCATATGGGCGCCGGTTCTATCCCAGCAGCCACGCTTCCCTTCCAGCTCCCTGCCTGTGGCCCGGGAAAGCAGTCAAGGACGGCCCAAAGCTTTGGGACCCTGCACCCGTGTGAGAGACCCGGAAGAGGCTCCTGGCTTCGGATCGGCATAGCATCAGCCATTGCACTCACTTGGGGAGTGAATCATCGGACGGAAGATCTTCCTCTCTGTCTCTCCTCTCTATATATCCGCCTTTCCAATAAAAAAAATAAATCTTTTAAAAAAAATCAAATGATTAACAGACAAGAAAAATGTTCAGGTTCTCTATCAGGGAAATACAAATAAAAACCCAATTGGGTTATACCAAACTCCAGTGAGATTGATCTATATTCACAACTCTACCAACAACACCTGCTGGCATGGACATAGGGAGAAATGTACCCTATTTCACTGCTACTGGAAGTACAGGCTAGTACAACCACTATGGAAGTCAGTACGGAAAGTGCCAAGACAACTGAAATCTGATCTACTGTATAGCCCAGCTATCCAACTTTTGGGAACATATCACAAGGAAATAAAATCTGCATATGATAAAGTAACAGGTAATCCTGTACTTACAGCAGCACAATTTACAATAGCAAAGACATGGAAACAAAGAAACTATAATACATCTATTCTGTGGAACACTACTTGGCTATTAAAAAGGATGAAATTCTATCATATGCTTAGTGAAATAAGTCAATCCCAAAAGGACAAATATGACTTCCCTGATAAGGCAACCTTCACACAAAATACAAGATAAACAAATATATATATATATAAATATGTATATATACATATTCATCTAGAGAAACTGTATGACGGAGATTAACATACTGAGATGAGACGATACAGTGCAGTAGGCATCTCCTGCATAAAAAAATGGATCCCAATGAAACTGTTACACGTATCTTGGTGACAGGATGTCACACTTCCTACCATTATCTATACCTACATGTCAGGATACGGTTAAATAGAACGATGGACTTGTGGCTGTTGTTGAAAGACTATACCATTATAATACCATTATAATACAGGAAGGGAATATAGGGAGGGTGGAAGAGGAAATCCCTGAGCCTATGGAAGTATTTAGGGGGAAAATTATAAAACAATAAACTTACTAAGCAAATTTAAGGTACCAGTTACTCCAAATATATTATTATCTACATGTCTCCATCACTGGTGTGATTCTACTCATTGACACAGCTTTTTTGAGAAATATCCCAAACTAAACATGTTGTTCTTAAAATCAAAGGGAATCCACAAAGAAGCAATACTAAAAAGATAACAAAAACAAAACTTTTCACCAAATAAACTGCAGCTACAGTTAAGAGACTACTGTTAAGCAATTTTTTAAAATGCAAACTGAAAAACATCAGCACTTGGGCCTAGCTGGATAGCGCTTGGCTAAATCCTCGCCTTACAGATCCCATATGAGCCCTAGTTCATGTCGCAGACGCTCCATTTCCCATCCAGCTCCCTGTTTATGGCCTGGAATCTCAGTGGAAGATGGCCCAGAGTCGTGGAATCCTGCACCTTTGTAGGAAAGAAACCTGGAAGACTTTCCTAGCTCCTGCTTCGAACTGGCTCAGCTCTGGCCAATGCAGGCATTTGAGGAGTGTGAACCAGTATACAGAAGATCTTTTTGTATCTCATTCTCTGTATAAATCTGCTTTTTCAAGAAAAATAAATAAATCTTTAAGTGTGTGTGTGTGTGTGTATGTGTGTGTACCAAAACTCAAAACTGTCTTGATGGCTCAATTTGCTAATCCTCTCCTTGTAAGCATCAGGATCTCAGCTTTCTGCTTCTGATCCAGCTCTCGTGGTCTGGGAAAGCAATAGAGGACAGCCCAAAGCCTTGGGACCCTGCACCCATGTGAGAGACACAGAAAAAGCTCCTGGCTCCTGGTTTCAGGTCGGTTCAACTCTGGCAGTTGCAGCCACTTGGGGAGTGAATCAGTGGATAGAAGATTCTTGTCTCTCTCCTCTCTGTAAATCTGCCTTCCAGTAAAAATAATAAATACTTCTTAAAAATATACACTCCTCCCAAAAAAGGCGTATTACATTCTAAACACTTGTACAAAGCATATTTTTCTTTTTAGAAGAAACTGCATAGGAAAGCCTGAAGAGATAAGTCAGTAAACTGATAATACAATTACTTTGAAGAGAACATCAAAAGTTCTATTTTTACAGAACATATTTACAGAAAACTTAGATAATTAAAGCATTATTCCATTATAGTTATAACAGCTTAATTGAGATTTCTGGGAATTAAGACAGGGAGAAAAGAACTGATGGGCAATACAGTGCATTGAGGTAGGCAGCTAGCTCAGGGTCAGGAGCTTGGAAGCCAATCCCCCCTACCACCTAGGTGTTCCCTCCTGCCCATCTGTGACTCTTACCTATCATCACCTGGAACCTGAGAGAGGGCAGTATTGCACTGTTGTGTAACCACTCCCCTCGGAAACCCCTATAAAGGCTCATGATAGGGAGGGACTCACTCTCGGTCACAGGCCTCCTCTGCCACTCTGACTCAGCCTCCCCAGTGAGTGCTTGCTCTCTGCCTTCCTAAGGACAGACTGAGGACAGGTAGCCCCTGAGCATGGCCCCTGTATGGCTATATTCCTCACCCACTGTTCCTGCTTGGAAGGGGCAATGAAGATGTTAATGCTAAGATGCTTTGCGTGGGTAGAGAAGCCAGGGAAAGGCGACTATCTGCAGCTTTGCAAGTGTGCCTAGGTTATTCATTGCATGTCTCTTAGGATAACTTATATTGTTGGGGAAGTTGGGATACAGGTCTTAAGCTTAACGGATGGACTTTAGGGTAATGACCATTTGTTCCTCTTGAGGTTATGATTGACTGGATTGCCATATGGACTTGTGATTTGCTATTTCTAGTGGGCCCTGTTATCACCAAGCTTGGTTAATAAAGATTTCTTAATCAGGCATGATCTCGCTTGCACCCCACAACAATAGAGTGAAAATTGTATCAGAAAGCATATTTTCAACATGTAAAATACAAGCACAGGTAAAAGTGATCAATAAATTCCATATTGTCATTTTTGAAAAAGACCTTCAATATAAATAATGCTATCTGAACACATCACGAGGACAATTTCAGGAAATTTTTCCTGGCCACATGCCAACACACTCCACAAAGTCATTTCCCCAAGCCAAGACCTGGGGAACCTACCTCACTTAGGCCTGCAGGTACTAACACAGAGAAAATTCACTTTTTTTTTTAATGCTCTAACAAACTCTCTGGGTTCCAACTGTGGTAATAAATTTTGGGCACAGAATTCCTTTACTTCAAGCTTCACCAAAACAGACGTGGCTGCTTACTGTTTCTAAAGCATGATCAATATGCTTCCTCCTGTCACAGAGCATCCAGTTTTATAGAATAAATTACGCAGGAACCCTACCCATAAATCACTAGTTTTAAAACATATTTATTTTTATTTGAAAGTCAGATATACAGAGAGAAGGAGAGATAGAGAGGAAGATCTTCCATCTACTGATTCACTCCCCAAGTGGCCACAATGGCCACAACTGAGCCAATCTGAAGCCAGGAGACAGGAGCTTCTTCTGGGTCTCCCATGAGAGTGCAGGGCCCTAAGGCCTTGAGCCAAACTCAAGCCACAAGCAGGGAGCTGGATGGAAAGCACGACTGCTGGGATTAGAACCGGCACCCATATGGATCCTGGTGCATGCAAGGTGAGGACTTTAGCCACTATACCACAATGGAACCTGCAAAGTACTAATTTAACACTTCTTAGTTTGCATCTACCCTGTACTCAAAATAACCTTTATTCTTGAAGTCTAACATTTTCTTAGGAAAATAGGGAGCCAAGGAATATGGGTTATATGTAGCCCATATTCTGAGACTAGAAACTCAATCATTTACAAAGCTCAGAAATCAGCTAATTTAGTGAGTACCTAAGTGTCTCAGGACATTGCATTCCCACATGACAACCTCTTACCTAAAGTATCTAAATTACTCAAATTGCAAATAGGAATTGCAGAACAGTGCACCCCACAATGGGCAAAGGCTACAGTGAACACAGTGCTCCCAGTGTGCCCCAAGTCTGCCTGGCAGTGCCAAAAGATTTCTGACAAAGTGCTGCCTGCACCAGCACACCAAAACTTGAATGGACCCCAGGATACATCTAGCCTGGAAATCGAAGGCACCAGTCAGGCTAAACTGAAATATTTCCATACCGATTTGCAATTAAAACTCCCAGGTCACTTTAAAACTGTATGAGGACTGCCACCTGTCTGTTAGTATCGGGGACAGATTTTCACAGCAGGCAGGAGGGAACTACACCAACATTAAACCTACAGCAAATGCTTTCTGCACCTGTGGAAATTTACAAAGCCCAATGTGTATGCTTCCGTGCAAAAACTAAACAACTCAGTTAATCTAACACCTCCCTCTAGTCCAGAATTCCTCAGAAGAAACAAGTGTGTTGATAACAATCACCCTGCGTTTATTTACACTACCCCACCCTTGGGATCTCACAGATCCCCTCTACCCCATAAAGTTGCTCAAATTTTGGCAGCAAACCTTTGCTGGTAAGCAATTGTTACTTCTCGAACAAAACTCAATTCATGGCAACTTAGAAAGCAAAGAAGACACTGCCCTTTCATTTTATCTGGCTTTTCCATTGCAGTTACAGCAATCAAAGCACCGAGAAACAAACTGCTGGGATCAGCATTCAAATGCTGATGGCACAATCTCCGCAAAAGGAAAGAGCTGTTAAGACTGCCAACCACCTAACGTCCAATCCACAAGCTTGTCAAAGATCTAGTTCCAATTATTCTCCCCTCCACAACCCTTGCTTCCAAGCACCTCTCGCACCACCACAATCGGGGGTTGCTTTTTTTTTTCAATGACTTCTTTGCAGTGATTTGAAAACCTTGATTTTTTTTCAGTCCGATTAATAAAATATCACGATCGCATTTCCACTTCATAAGTCCCTTTACTCCACATCTATCCACAAGCCGCGACTAACTATCTAAACTTAAGCTACTTTAACCAAGTCACACATTCACACTACCTGGCAAAAAACAACCAAAGAAAACCACGGTTCTTGCACCGCGCCAGCCGGGGCGGCGCTGCCAAGTTACCCCCTCCGTGGTTAACTCGCCAGTCAAGGAGAACCTGAGGTCCCACCTCTTCCTGCCGCTTGTCCATTTATGTAAACAGGCATCGCGAATGACACCTTGGCACCCGGTACCTCCGACTGACAGGGTGGCGAGGCCCGCCCCTCCGCCTGCCCCGCGAGTCGCCCCTCCGCACCCTTGCCCGAATCCCATGGCCGAGAAGCCACGGGGACCACAGACCTGCCTCCAGAGTGTCCGGCGGGGGCGGCGGCGGGCCCGTCCCGGCGGGGGACAGGTGCTGGGGAGGTTTTTTGGTCCAGGGGTTCTCCTTGGGCGGCAGCGGCGGCGGCGGCGGCGGTGGTGGTGGCGGCGGCGGCGGCAGTTTCGCCTCGGGGCCGGCCGCTGCCGCCTCACCCCGGGCGTCCTGGGCCGGCTGGTCCCGCGGCGGCGGAGGCGGCGGAGGCGGCGGCAGGGGCTCCCCGCCGAAGGGGCCCCCGGTCCCACGCGCCCTGTGCGCCAGGTGCAGCGCCAGGGGCCTCACGGGCACGGCCGCCTGGGGCACGTTGTGTCCCAGCACTGGCACCGGCGACGGTTCTCCCCGCGCCCCCGCGCTGCTGCTGCTGCTGCTGCTGCTGGCGGCCGCGGCCCTGTCCTCCCTCGCCGCCTCCTTCCCCTCTCGATCCGGCGGGGGCGTCTGCTCGGCCTGCCGGCTCGCAGCGACCGAGCGCGACTCCCTCTCAGAGGCCGCCGCGGGCGGATCCTCCCGAGAGTGAGCGGCGGGCAGCGGGGCGCGAGCAGACATGGTCCCCTTGCCCCAGCCGCCCCAGCCTAGGGGGGCCCGGGGCCAGGGAGCCCGGGTGCCCGTCGCTCCGCCGGGGCACCGACCGGCGCCGGCCTGGGGCAGAGAACCCGAGAGCCCGGCCGCCGTCGCCGCCACCGCCGCCCGCCGAGGCCGTGCAGCGCCCGGCGTGCCGGCCCGCGTCGAACGGGAGCGCTAACCGCCCGCCGGCCCGCACCTCCCGGGCGGCGCACGCCCAGAGCCGGCTAACACGCGCGGGGCGCCGCAGCCGGGAGCCGCGAGCCCTCACCTGGCGCGGGCGGCGGCCGACGAGCCGGCGAGCTGCGCTGAGGACCTTGAGCCGAGTCCGGGAGGGGCACGCCGCGCCGGCCCCTAACCGGCCGGGGGGCGGGGCGGCGGCGTGGGGAGGCGGGCCGAGGGGCGGGGCGGCGGCGTGGGGAGGCGGGCCGGGGGCGGGGCGGCGGCGTGGGGAGGCGGGCCGAGGGGCGGGGCGGGGCCTCCTCCAGGAGCGTGACGTGGCCGCTCGCCGGTCGCCCCCCCGCTGCCTCCGCCTCAGGGCCACGCGAGGAGGCCGCCCTCCCTGAGGGCCGCCCGCCCTGAGGGCCGGCCCCCGCCCAGCGGCCAGCCGAGGCGGGGAGGAGGGCGAACCGGGCGACTCCCGGGGCTCGCGGGCTGCGGCCGCCCGGGCACTGGCCGCAGGGGCGGGGCGCCGGCCCTCTGTGACTCGCTGCCGGCTCGCGCGGCGCTCCCCGGGCAGCGACGGCCACCGGCGGGGCCGGGAGGGGCGGGGCGCACGTGGTGCCCGGGGCAGCGGGCGGGCCGTTTGCCGGAGGCGAGTCGCTTGTGGGGCGAAGGGCTTAGGGGCGGGTGTCGGGTACCCACCCGCGGTGCTGCCGAGGACGGGACGGGGCCCTTTGCACCCGAACGCTCCCACGAAGTGCTTTGAGGGCATCGCGGTCGCCAGGAACACAGGGAAAGCGATGTTATCTGTAGGTCATTGTTTATGAAACCTTTGCCCCGGAATTTGATTTACTGCACTTCTTTGCCGCGTTTCCCACCCACAAACAAATTTTTTTAAAGAGTGCTCTTGTATGAAACATCTAGCATTTCCCTGGCTTTTAGATTTTTCAGAGAGGAGTCCTGTAATTTGGAGAGCTGACACTGAGGTGAGAAATCAGCTATATATTTTTTTTTCTTTTCACTAGGACGGATTTTAAAACAGTACGAAGACTTTGTGATCATAAATCTGATAAGAGCTTCCTATATGGCTCTAAAATCCAATTAGACATGATACTGGCATTATGTGCGTCTTATTATGAGTTCAGGTGCAAGGTCGCTGAGCGCAGTTAGTTCAGTTGAGTTTTTTCTCTCAGCCCTTCCCCCAGCTTTGCAAGAGTTTGCTAGCAGTCCTTGCCTTTAGGACTGCCGAGCCCAGCAGGCAATTTATGTGTGGAATCCAATCTTCCAAGGGTTTGGCTTCCGTTGTATTAAACTCAAGGTTAGTTTGTTCTTGTTTACTTGCCCAAACTACCTTGCTTAAGGCTAATCTAGTCACACAACAGTATAAACAGTAGGCGTGTTTTCCATATCAGTTATCGACCAGACCCTAAGTAACCTCCTGAAATCCAAGTAGGAGTTGTACTTGCACCTGTGTCCCGGAAAGGGGCCGCCTTGACTAGCTGTGCCTAGTGTTTTTGACTACCAGCAAGTGGCTCTTGTTGTCACCAGCCCTTTGGAGTTCTGCCAGGTAATGCTTGACTTTTCGCAAGTGGCTGTGACTCAGAACACATTATTTTACTGTCTATTCAAATCTATCTGGATTAAAGACTGAGTCAGTTGAGGGAAAAAAAATAAGTGTTATGGATTGTTTCTGCTGAGTCCCATGGGTATTGGGCTGCATAAACAGGGGTGCTCTGTTTTTGTTGTTGAATTGGCCTTTTTTTTTTTTTAAGTGAAGAGTCATCCGGGGATTTCTCAGGGCAAAAGGGAAGGATTAATGGAGGAATATTGCAGAGTGTTCTTGGAAACAGGGTTTGCTTGTAAAAAAGGAGGAACTGGGCCTTCTAAAGAGTTTGGAAGAAGTCAGCATCTGAGTTCAGAATCCCACCTGGTGCATGCGGGCAACTCCGTGCAGGGGGCTGGCATGTGTGGCTCTCTGAAAAGAATACAATTCCTGTTTGCAGCATCCTCACCTGTCCTTATGTCCCTCTGTACCTGCTCTCTCCACCCTTCCCCTCTTGTGCGAGGGAGAGCTGGCCTGTTGGGATGGCACCAGTGGGCTCCCTTGTCCTACGTTGGTGTCTGCGTGGATTCGCACAGTAGGAAGTATCTGCCAAAGATTGTAGGCCAAAAGATAGTGAGGTCATAGTCCTCACTCCCTCTGGAGTCACGTGCGCTGCACTGTTCTCTCCAATCCTCCCTTCTATTTTAGTGGCATAGGGATAATAACCGTCATCCCTGTCCTTTCCTGCTTTCCCCAAACATGCCCATAGCTCTGGAAACAGGCCTTTTCATAACGTCAAATTGGGGAGCAGGAGCACTCCATCTGATCACAGCTGGGGCCTGAACTGACTTCATTTCCAGTCCTATTTCTTCTTTCCATCATCCAAGCACTAAGATCAAAACCAACGAAGAAAGGCTTTTACATATTTGATTAACCCAAATGTGTAACACTTAACCCTTGCGCAGGCTGGCCACCTTGCCTGGAGGGAAAAAAATGGTTTGTTTCAAAATTACAGTGTTACAAATTTTTAAAAATTTTTATTTTTATTGAAGGGGCAAATTACAGAAAGAAGGAGAGAGAGGAAAATCTCCCATCCTCTGACTCACTCACTCCCCAAGTGGCCACAATGGCCAGAGCTGAGTTGATTCGAAGCCAGGAGCCATGAGCTTCTTTTGGGTCTCCCATGTGGCTTGAGGATCCCAAGGGTTTGGGCCATTCTCATCTGCTTTCCCAGGCCAAAAGCACGGAGCTGGGGGTAAGTGGAGTATCCAGGACACAAACTGGTGCCTATATGGGATCTTGATGCTTGCAAGCAAAGTATTTACCCAGTGAACCATTGCACTAAGGGTTTTGTGTGTGTGTGTTTTGTTTTGTTTTGTTTTGTTTTACAGAGAGAAAGAGAGAGAAAAAGATTTTCCATCTGCTGTTCACTCTCCAAATGGCCGCAGTGGACAGAACTGAGAAAATCTAAAGCCAGGAGCCCAGAGCTTCCTCCAAGTCTTCCACATCAGAGCAAGGTCCAAAGGCTTTGGGGCATTCTCTGCTGCTTTCCTAGGCCTCAAGCAGGGAGCTGGATGGGAAGTGCAACAGGCTGGACAGGAACCAGCATCTATATGGGGATGACTGCACTTGCAGAGGGAAAATTAACCATCTGAGCCATAGCAGTAGCCCCATACAGTGTTAAAAAACACTTAACTGGGCTGCTTACCTTCACTTAGGCCTATTTCATAAAACTGTGAGGACTTCACGAGATGCCATGAGAAGAGGGCTTACCCAGTACTGAAACTCAGTAATGCTTCCTGATTTTATTGCTCTTAAATCAACAGACTTAACTGGGATGAATAACGTTACTTTTAGTCAACTACTGAGAATAAATGTCTGATATGTTAAAATGAAAAACTGGAATATGGAGAACAGGAATGGGACTCGGTTTTGAAAGGGAGAATGATTCTCTAAGCCCTCAGAAGTTATGAACCACATAAAGTGATTCTTGTTATAGCAGCTTGATGATGACATTGTTCAAAATGAGTCTTTAAAAGACAAGCCCTGTTTTTCCTGTTTAAGAGGATGCCTGTGTATCCATCCTCTGGTGCTTGAACCCATTCCTCCTGCTTCTGAGGACAAAGTTCAAGATCTCTAATATTACCAATGCAATTTAGATTAATACTGACTTTAAAAAAACTCAAGTGTACATAGAATTTGTAGGATACAAGATTTCTAGTCAGGAAGGTAAAAGGGAGCAGCAATTTTTTTCAGCTTTTGAAAAATGACCACTTTAAAGAAGATTGGGTAAAGGAACTGATAACAGTCCAGACTGGTCAAGGCAGCAGCACCCAAATGTGCATCCTGAATAGGGTGTGGGGTGGGAAGGGCTGCAATGTTAACCAGCTGATGCAAGGCCAAATAGAAGGCCAGACTATGCCTGACACTAGCCTAAAATCCAATGGCATGTATGAGAACTGGGCCTGGGAGTGGATCAAGTGGAGGAACTTGGGAAACTCCCCTGGTGTGTCATAGCTCCCGCTGGTGAACACATGGTCCAGACCTGGGGGTCGGACAAGATGGGCAAAGTAGCTCCAATGGCTTGGTAATGTGTGGGTTGGTAATAGAACAGGATGGACCAGGCAAAGCCGAGCAAACCTTAGCCCACAAGCAAAATTAGAAATCAAGATCAAGCACAGGTCATTCTGAGCTAGGCTCTTGCACCTACTGGTCTGCATGAGCCAGAGAGGCTAAGCCACAGCATCTAGGGCACGGGCCAAGACCGGTGAGGGGCTGTGCCAAGCTGAGTCAGAGCAACTACTAGCATACGTGCAATCTATGGCTGGGAACAGGCCCAGTTGGGGAGCTAAGGGAACACTCTAGCTGGGTTCAGATTCCTACCAAGGAGGCTACCGTTCTGATTTGGATATGGCTATAGTCTCCCTTTGCAA